GTCGGGGGAGGGGGACTGAGGACGAGGCTTTGACGGACGCCCGCTCCGGAGAGCTCCCAGCCTGGCTGCTCCCGTGACCCTGCAGCTTGCCATCCATCCCACCTACAGGTTCCCCGTTTTATGCAGAGTCATGATTTTGGAGGATGGCTCTCAAAAGAGATGGGTGTCCAGGGCGTGATGGGGAGGAGGAGGTATAACTAAAGGATGACAGCCCCTTCCCTCCGTGAGGAAGAAGGTGAGCTTGTCCACTGCATCAGTTGACAGTTGCTTGGTAGAGAGTTCGGTGATGGGCGTGTTCCTCCCGACAGATTGGAGCACCCCTAGAAAATGCAGTGTTAACCTTGGATGTGATGGCAGATGGTGACGTGCTTCAGGAAGCTTTCCTGCCGAATCATCACGTGTTTCTGGATTTTCTTTTGTCTCGGCAGTTTGGTGACTCTTATTCGACATCCATCTGAGTTAATGAACGTTCCTCTTCATCAACAACAAAACAAATGCACAGCGTTAGTGAAAAACAAGACCGCCGCCGCCGCCACGACTCTGCAGCTCACCTACCCCCTGTTCACTGCGAATGCCTGCTCCTCTGGAGGGGGCACCAGCCTCTCTCAGACTCAGGTGCAGAAAGTGGCTTTGTTGAGTGACCTTAACCTCTTTACTTAGGTTCTTTCATTGATTTTCTTAACTTTTTCAAATAGATAGCATTTGTGGCTTAGTTGGTTGGAGTGTCATTCCATCCAGCCAAAGGTGGCGGGTTCAGTTCCTGGTCAGGGCAGTTTCAATCCCCCGTTGGGGCATGAGTGGGAGTGACGGATTGATGTTCCTCTCTCACATCGATGCTTCTCTCTCTAAAATTTAATACAAAAAGGAAAACATAAAATTGAGAGCATTTATGTGGTTAGAGAAATTTTTTTTTATTTTCAAAAAGTGTTACAGATCTCGTCACCACTGTAATAAAATTACTGTGATGGAAGCATAACCTGTGTCTCAATGTAGCCACATTAACAAATTGGTTAGGGAATTTTCAAAAGTCCTCTGTGACCTAAGCTCTTCATGTTGCATGTTAATAGCTTTGACGTCACTGCTGTTACTGCGTTGTATTTGTACAGGAAAGAGAAGGCGCATAGTGATCAAGTTCCCGTTGCTTCATCTTTTCCAGAGTTCTAATAACTCCTGTTCTATACTTGAGGCTGCCAAACATCAGGATATTGGATTGCCGAGAGCATTTTCTTTCTGTTATCAACAAGAAATTGAATCCACAAAGCAGACTTTAGGTAGTAGAAACAAAGCTTTGCCTGAGCAGGTTTGGATTAAAGTGGGAGGTAAGCCACCAAGTGGAAGGGAGCAGGTACTTCCGTCTGACCTTTGCCCTCCTGTCCTTGTGGTCTTTCGAGGGGGCGGTGGTTTATGAACATGACCAGTCTTGGAAGTGTCTGTATCTCAGGGCTTCCATCTTCCCCTAGTCCAGTGATGGCGAACCTATGACACGAGAACTCATTTTTGGGTTGATTTTTCTTTGTTAAATGGCATTTAAATATATAAAACAAATATCAAAAATATAAGTCTTTGTTTTACTATGGTTGCAAATATCAAAAAATTTCTATATGTGACACGGCACCAGAGTTAAATTAGGGTTTTTCAAAATGCTGACACGCCGAGCTCAAAAGGTTCGCCATCACTGCCCTAGTCACCTCACTTTCAGCATTTGCCTGAATTACAGGCATCATACTTACACTTGGTATGGAAACATTGAGTTCGGGCTGCCTGTTCTTAATAGTAAATACCCTAACACAAAAATGATAGACTTATATAGAGTTTCAGTTACCTTCAAGTCACCAAAGCACATAGGCTTGTTTGTTTTTATTTTCCTTGTGAGTAAGGCAAGGCCTGAAATATGCTAGAAGCTTTAGGAGACAGTCCGTGGGTGGGCAGAGGTCTGAGTTGGAGGCAAGGAGCCATAAGGTGATGTAGAAACAGACACGGCTGAAGGCAACTCTGCTTTTCTCAAACGTTAACTCTCACCCCTTTCTCCCTGGAAACAAATTGGTTTGCAGGTTACCCACCACAATAACACAGCTGGCACTAAGCTTTCCGAGAGCTATGAACACCAGATGGGGTGGAGGGCTACTGCTTTCTCCCGTGGCAATAACTAATTTTTTCCTTGTTTTTATGACAAAAAAGTATATGTTAACATTTGTCAGGTGTGAAGGTTAAGATTGAAATAGCTCCTGTACTGATTACTCAGCTTAAGGAATAAAACATTACCAATGCCTGTGAATTCCCTCTGTCCAATATTCTGAAATGTGATTCTTTTGAATGTGGCTTTATGTGGCTTCTCAGGATGCACGTCACCACACACACCAGTTAGGTGTCTGCTGTTCTTTGTCTGGTGGAAACATGACGTATTTCTGTAGCTCTGATGTGATTGCTCCTCAGGTGGGAAGAATCACTTGTAAGGTGAGGGTGAGTTGAATCTTAAACCACTTAGCTTTTGTCCTCTTCTGAGAAATGCAGTTGTCATATTAGAGCTAGTGGCCCATTAAAAGGGGATTAATTAGAGGAAATATTTTAATATTGCTATTTGTGTTTTCTCTATAATAGAAGTGTCAGAGATGAAAGAAAATTAGTAAAATGTGTATGAAAATCTTCCTCCTGTCAGTCTGGGGTGCACCACGGGACCCAGAGTCAAGTCCCCACCCACCCACATGCGCCTCAACATCACGCAAGACCCAGACCCGGCCACCCCCTCCCTCATTGGGCTAGATCCAGACCCAGCCAGTCTCACCCTTGTCAAGCCCCGCTGGGTGGGGGGCAAGGCCTCAGGTCCCCTGGCCCGGTGCCGGGCAGGGGGCATGGCCTGAGGTCCCCTGTCAAGGCCTGCCTGGTGGGGGCACAGCCTGAGGTCCCCTGTCAACCCCCACAGGGGTGGGGGCGTGCAGCCTCAGGTCCCTGCTGATTGCTCCTTAAGGCTTGTTATGGGAACTCTCCTCAGCTGGGGGTGCAGCCATCTTTGTGGCGGAGGGACGGTCAATTTGCATATTCCCTCTTTATTATATAGGATAATTCCAGCTTTTTCCCCCACTCTGAATATCAGAAAAATCAAATAAATTCTTGGTTGTTCATAGATGGCAGTTAACGCCTGTTGATTAATAAGGCGGGGGGTTGGCAGGGATATACTGATTAACACTCAGCATGTTGTAATTTAGAGGTCTGTGCCTAGTTTTGTGTTTGGAACTAGGAGCTTGGAGCTGGCTGCTCACACAGAGTTGCCTTCGTGTCCAGCTCGTCCTCTTCAGGTCTCTGTGCTCCTTCCCCATTAATGTTTATGTCTTGGATTGAAGATGCCAAAAATGTATTCAGCATTACTGGAGATAAGTTAAAAATAAATAATTAAAGTACCACTTTTTTCTTCTTTTGCAAAGAAGAAGCGCTGTGCAAACAAGCGATAAATAAGAGGAATCGGAGTAGGATACGTCAGTTGGACACCAGTGTGGAGCGAAGAGCCCTTGGAGAGATTCAGAATGTGGGTGAAGGTGCCACCACCGCCCCGGGCTCCTGGCAGTCTGCAGAGTCATCACAGTCTCATCTTGGGGAGCAGTCCCAGAGCGCCCCGGGCGGAAGGTCACAGCGCAGGGAAAGGCACAACCGCATGGAGAGGGACAGAAGGTAATGTGTGTACGCGGGACCGAGCTTTGGAGCATCTGTGGACACTTAGCTTAGACACATTAGTAATAACGGCACCTTGCCGTAAAAACGAGTAGCCGTGTTTGTGTTCAAAGGGGGGGAAGTTCGCACGAGTAAATGTGGACTTTGCTCTGCTGGGTGGATTGGGGTCCCCAACACCCCCAGACCATCCTGATTGATTAGAAAAGACATGGAAAAATTTGAGAAGGTGGGGGGATGAGGGCGGGGCCTCCCAAGGGCTCTTCGCAGGGGAGCACTTCACTCCCCAGCCCTGAGTTCTTGGATGTGTGAAAGCTGTCAGCAGACTCCATGCTCGAGATTGTTTGGGGACCAGTCCTTTGGGCGTCCCCTGTCCAGCACACAGTCAGGCTCCAGACCCAGAAGGAAAGCCTGTGTTTCATGGAAACCACATTGTTTGTATAAACCGCTTAGGCCAGTGGTTCTCAACCTTCTGGCCCTTTAAATACAGTTCCTCATGTTGTGACCCAATCATAAAATTATTTTCGTTGCTACTTCATAACTGTAATGTTGCTACTGTTATGAATCGTAATGTAAACATCTGATACGCAGGATGGTCTTAGGCGACCCCTGTGAAAGGGTCGTTCAACCGCCAAAGGGGTCGCGACCCACAGGTTGAGAACCACTGACTTAGGCACAGGGAGCCTCTCTTAACTCACAATGGTGGGAAATCTGAAGTTCCCAGGTGCCAGCCAGGCCAGCCTCATGGGCATGCCTTCCTTCCTGAGGGTGGGTGGCCTGCCGGCAGTTCCCCTGCAGCCCTTGTCACCAGTATGTCCTGGTTCCTTTAAGAATGTTGGGGAAGGAGGGGGTTAAAACTGTTAAGTCGTTTTGTCTCTACATATATTTGCAGATTCTGTGTAGAATCGGGGTGGTTAGTGTTTCTCTCTTACAGCTGGGATTTTACATGGTATTTTCTAACACAGAGTTAGTTAACTGAGTCATTCATTGAGCACGCGGGCCAGTTTTTGTTGTAGGCTCAGGAGGTGCAGCCTGGACCAAGACGAAGCCCCATGGTGGGGCTGAGGCAGGTTACCCCTCTAAGGCAGGGATGGGGACCTTGTTTCTGCCCAGGGCCATTTGGATATTTGTAACATCATTCTCGGGCCAGACAAGATTATCAGCTTAAAAATTAGCTGCTACATTTGATCAAACATTTATCTCACCCCTAATGCCTTGACAGGGTCAAACCAAATGATTTTGAGGGCATGATACGGTCTGAGGGCCGGGTTTCCCCACCCCTGCTCTAAAGGGATACAGTTAAGCCAGCCAGATCCCATGGACTGGGATGCACACACACCCTTGAGCTCACCAGGTGACAGAGCTTCTTTCCTCTGGCATTTATTTAGAGGACATTCAACTGAGCACCTGCTCTGGGAAAACCCTCACATGTTCACAGTGGAAGTTTCTGTTCTCAATGCCATGTCCTAGTGTAACAGCCTTCCTTCCGCCAGCTCTTTCCATCCTGTCCTGAGCTTCCGTCTATAAGAGTTACTGTCTACCACGTAGGTTTACGTTAAAATTAAACAAGCTGATGAGGGGTGGAGAGCACCGCTAAGCGCCAGCTGTGTTCACAAGGCCCGTGACATCCTGCGTGCTCAGCAGGAGACCAGGACCAGGGCCGTGCCCTGTGCATTGTTTAGTGTCAGCTTAGGTCGGACTCCGCACGTCACTAGCCATATGTGTGCAAGTTACAGATGGCCTAGTCGTGACTCCAGCTGTGATTTGATTGGTCTCTAAGGCGGCCAGGTTTCCGGATATTAACAGGCTGGTGTCTGTGGCCCTTTTTGAAACAGGTACCTTGACGAAGTGAGGCTGGGATCTTCGTCCTGGGCACACAGCGGGCAGCTTACTAACTTGAGGGAGAGGGTGACCTGCCCAATAAATAACACGACACTTAGCTTCCAGTTTCAGAGGTTTGGGTCTGTCGTTGGTCTAGCCCAGTGGTCGGCAAACCGCGGCTCACGAGCCACATGCGGCTCTTTGGCCCCTTAATGTGGCTCTTCCACAAAATACCATGTGCGGGTGCACATACAGTGCGATTGAAACTTCGTGGCCCATGCACAGAAGTCGGTTTTCGGCCTGGGTGAGTCTATTTTGAAGAAGTGGCGTTAGAAGTAAGTGGGGGTACGTTCGCTGAGGTCGACCCCTCAGATTGAGGACATTTTAGCAAAGGCCAGCTTAGGAGTACCCTAATTAAGTTAATAACAATGTACCTACCTATATAGTTTAAGTTTAAAAAATTTGGCTCTCAAAAGAAATTTCAATCGTTGTACTGTTATTTGGCTCTGTTGACTAATGAGTTTGCCGACCACTGGTCTAGAGTCTAGACCAGCCGTGGGCAAACTACGGCCTGCTGGCCGGATCCGGCCCGTTTGAAATGAATAAAACTAAAAAAAAAAAAAGACCGTACCCTTTTATGTAATGATGTTTACTTTGAATTTATATTAGTTCACACAAACACTCCATCCATGCTTTTGTTCCGGCCCTCCGGTCCAGTTTAAGAACCCATTGTGGCCCTCGAGTCAAAAAGTTTGCCCACCCCTGGTCTAGACCCTTGAATCTGGCCCCTGAGAAGTAAATAGGGAAGCTCCCCGAGGAGGGTGCCCAGGGCAGGAGTGGCCTAGGGAAGGGCCTGGGTGAGGGCAGTCAAGAGCACCAGGTCCTGGGGGGACAGGCCTCTGCCCGTGCACTTGCTGCCAGGCCCCTGAGCTCTGACTCTTCAAGTGACGCACACATTTGCTCAGCTCTGTGTTTGCTTCAGATTCTCTGTGTTGCTTTGGATTTTGCTGTAGGCGCAGAATCCGCATTTGCTGTGATGAGTTGAATCTTTTGGTCCCGTTCTGCAACGCCGAGACAGATAAGGCCACGACCCTGCAGTGGACCACTGCGTTCCTAAAGTACATTCAGGAGCGCCATGGAGATTCTCTTAAGAAGGTGAGTATTGTCCGGCTGGCATGGCTCCGTGGTTGAGCATCGACCTATGAACCAGGATGTCACAGTTCGATTCCTGGTCAGGGCACATGCCCGAGTTGTGGGCTCAAACCCCAGTGTGGGGTGTGCAGGAGGCAGCCGATCAGTGATTCTCTCTCATCATTGATGTTTTTATCTCTCCCTCTCCCTCCTTCTCTGAAATCAATAAAAATATATTAAATTAAAAAAGGTGAGTATTGAGGCCAGGTGAGTTTTAGGAGTTTGTCAGCTTATCATTGTTCTTATGTGTCCTTTTCCCTGAAGATCCCAAACTGTCCTCTGTGTCCTGGAATCAGACGTTACAGAGTCATTGTGAGCAAGAGCTCTGCTCGTGGCGTGTGCTCGTCACTGAGTAAAGTGGCCTCCGCCTGGCCTGCTCACTCCATGATAGTGGAGATGACGGGGTCGCCCTCGAGACAGGCTGAGCACCTGCTGTGTGTGGTGGATTGGACTGGGCGAGGGGGGCTTTCAGAGACTGGAGGAGGGAGTGGTTTTGCCCTCAGGAAACCCAAAGGGATAAAGCAAAGGGCAGATAAATGTCAAGTAAATGGTTTGGACTTCAGTGCCTCCAAAGGCAGAAAGAGAGACACTTGTGTGGGTTGGGTGACTGGGTGACCTGGGGCTCGGGCCAGCACGTCCTTGACCATCTGTTGGGTTCCCAGTGAGTGAATGAGCTGGGGTCCCATAGGACCGAATGCTTGGTGTGGTTTTTGTCCGCCCCTTCCTTGGCTCAGAGGAGAGAACACAGGTGGTGTCAGCTGTGGCTTCTGTGTTCCTCCGGACACCAGGGCTCCCATGTTGGCTGCAGAGCTAGCGGTCAGGCTGACTGGTGGGGAGGCTTTAGTGAAGTGAGCCGCAGCATGAGTCTGATTGGAGAACCAAGCTGAGGTTGGTGTGATAAACATGGAACCTTTTTGAAAAGAGCCTCATGTCCTGGCTGGGGCTTAGTTGGAGCGTCGTCCTGTACACCAATAGCTTGTGGGTTTGATTCCTGGTCAGGGCACATACCTAGTTTTCAGGTTTGATTCCTGGTCAGGGTGTGTACAGGAGGCAGCTGGTTGATGTTTCTCACAATGATGTTTCTCTCTCTCCCCTACCCCCTTCCTCTCTTAAAAAAAAAATCTATGAAAACATCCTTGGGTGAGGATTTAAAAAAAAAAAAAAGAGCCTCCTGTGTCCAGATGCTGGACGCTGCAAGCGTGGCCGGGCCGTGCTGAGTTGCTCTGCTTCCCTTGTCTGCGTCGTGTGAGCTTCATATTTCATCTCTGTCCTGGTTCTCATTGTCTATTTAATTGCATTTCCAAGCAGTGCTTATGTTGGATTCCCTCTAGCAGCGGTTCTCAACCTGTGGGTCGCGACCCCTTTGGAACGGTATTTAAAGGGCCAGAAGGTTGAGAACCACTGCCCTAACGGATCATTTGTGGTTGTCATGCAGTTGCTCTTTAACACTATTTGTTAGGGGTAGACCGTGGGGTTATTTGAATAAAATAAAGCTTTTACACTTTTTAAATGATTTAATCTTTGGCTCTGTGTACCTATTAGAAAATTATTGATAGAACTCATTCAAGTATGATGAAGGCATTACAACAGCAAAAACCTTGTTAAATATACACACACTCTCAGATTGATTTATAGGTATTATATTTTATGGACAGTATGCATCCTGGGCAATTCTGAAATTTAATTATATTGAATTTGTAGATTGTTTCTGCATCAGATCATAGGAACATCAAGAAACAGGCCGGAGTGACGCCAGTTAGCAACTGGGGGGAATTAGGAGGCAAACAGCCTAACCCAGTGATGGCGAACCTTTTGAGCTCGGCGTGTCAGCATTTTGAAAAACCCTAACTTAACTCTGGTGCCGTGTCACATATAGAAATTTTTTGATATTTGCAACCATAGTAAAACAAAGATGTATATTTTTGATATTTATTTTATATATTTAAATGCCATTTAACACATTGCGTACCGCATAGAAATCTCTAAGACATACGCCAGGGACCGCACGTTTTTGGGCAAACTGCACGTTATTTAAATCATCATAATGCACTTTAGGTGTTGTTTTTCAATAATTATAACATTTTTATTTACAAAAACAATTAAAGTTCCTAGTACTTTTTTAACGTATGGTACTGCGTAAAACATTTTCCTCTATGAAGAGGGACCAAACAAAATTTACATAAGTATCTAGATTCGCTCCTTTTTCCATGGGCGTGAAAAACAAGACCACTCGTGAGTGGTCCTTAACAGATGGCGCGCGAAACACGAGAAAACTCCTGAGCTGTACGAAATGTGTTAACAAAGAAAAATCAACCAAAAAAATGAGTTCGCGTGTCACCTCTGACACACGTGTCATAGGTTCGCCATCACTGGCCTAAACACACGTGGGCCTCACTGTTTCTCAGTAACTCACCCTCCTACTTGCATGAATGTCTTTGTTCTCAGAATACGATGCATGAGAGTCTGAAGTAATTTTCCTGAGTTATCTTAGTACACGTGGAATTCCACAAACCTTTCCTGCTCCAGCCAGACTTCTGCTCAGTCATACTTTAAATATATGGAGACCCCGCTGGCCTGTGGGCGGCGTCCCCAGCATCTCAAAGAGGGGACACTGCCATGCGGGCCCTGCCGCAGCGCGCGTCTGAGGCCAGGTGTCCACAGCCTCGAGGGGTCAGGCCGGAGTGGCACGCTGTGATTGACGCTTTGCTGTGTGAGGAGCCTGGACTCTGGGAAGGAGAGGTCCGGGGGGGAGTGAAGGTAAAGACCCTGGTTGAGGGCCGCAGAGCCGCTCACCGAGACTGCTGGGCGCTGCGGTGGGAGCCAGAGGCCCGTGCTCGCTGTGATGTGGGCGTGCTGGAGGAGGGATTGGGGAGCACTCGGGGTTCTGGCTTGAGCTGCTGGGTGGACAGGGAGAAACAGGGTGGGCGGGCAGAACCCATGGTCTTTCCCAGACTGTTTAGTGCCCAGGACGACAGGCGAGTCTGCATGGGCCGTGGGTCCTTGTCAGCGAGTGGGTGCTTGGCTTTGTCACTTTTCTGATGAGCCTGCTGCATAGCAGATGCCTGTGCACATCACCAGCCTCACTCACATTTGCTAGGTGACTTCAAAGACAACTGCAGGCGTGACCCTTCTCCGCTGAATGTCTGCTCGTGTGTCCTAATGCTCCTTCCTCCCCAGGCCATTGTCATGCCTCCCACATTGATTGTAGTTCTCTGATGTCTAATAGTCACATGTCCCCAAACTGCTTTTAAAATGATTCAGCTGTGTTTTTTCCCTGAACCAGTGACCAGCCATGGGGTTTGCATTTCATTATATTCTGCGGCCTCTAACTGGGGGTCCCTCCATTAGTTATTGTGGCATCCAGGTGTCAGAAGAATTCTGCACTTAGATGGCTCACTTTATTATTTATTTACTTATGGCAGTTTAAAATTCGATGCAACCTCAAACTTGAATGACAAGAATAGGACTGAGAGCCCCTCGTATACCCTCCTGGCTTCGCCCAGAGCTGCCAGCTATTGGCGTGTTGCCCCATTTGCTCCATTCTGTGCAGAATCTGTATTTTGCTGAACCTTTGATAGTGAGTTGCAGGCGCAAGGCCGCTTTGCACCTGGCCTTCTGTGTGTGTTTCAGCGAGAACACGTGGTCAGAGACAGGACTTTATACCGACACTGTTACCAGTAGTTCAGGGGCAACATTCACACTGCACCTGTTGTCCCGGGGTGTCCCCACTCAGAATCCAGTCCAAGGTCACAGGGCTCCCCAGACTGTCATTCATCCCTGCCTCTCTGCTGTGCCCTTTCTGGTTCCACCTGAAGTCGGGGGACGGGACAGCTCTGCCAGATGGTCACTGTCCTTCAGAAACTGCTTGGGATTAGGGGCAGAGGTGCTGTTACTTGTCCCATAGTTACTCCCCTGCGAGAACTGGGCCCATGTCCCCCACCAGCAACTATCCCTCTCCTTGCTGCTCAGCTGCACCGCTCAAAGGAATTGCCTGTCCCATCTCCTTTCTCCAACTGCCTTTGACTGCCTAGTGCCTGTTTAGCCAGTGATGGGTTAAAGGTGATTGTGCTGACCTGACCTTGACCTCCGCCGCCAGTCCCCAGGTCACCACCCTCCCTGGTGTTCCTGCTTCTCTTGAGGCACCTTCTCCCCTCCCTCCTTCTATAACGCTACCCTCTGCCCCCCATTCAAACAGCCTGGGAGCGGAGCGGCTGGGGATCTCACCATTGGTGCACAGGGGTCACTGATCCCTGTGTTCAGTGAGTGCACATGACCCCTCCCTCATCCCCTCCAACAGGACCCCCGCTCCCAGGGAAGGAGAGTGGCCGCCCGGCTTGGTGGGCTGGCACTGTGTGGGGAGACCCTCCTGGGGAGTACTTCACAGCTTTGTGCTGATGAGCTCGTTCCTCCCTCGTTCTTTCGTCACTCCTGCTCCTTTGTCCCTCATCCCAGTGTCCTGGCTCTGCTGTGGGTCTTCCCAGAGCACCGGCTCCTGGTCTGTTCTGGCCTCTTGGATTGGGAACAGGAGAGTCAGTAGGAATGTGTTTTCTATCATAATTTGCTTTTATGTGAATTATTTTTAAACCGTACCTCTCTTTCTTTCTTTCCTTCTTTGTAAGTTTAGATTTTCTGGTGCTTGAGTTGCAAGCTGACTTCATTTACTTTCAGCCTTTCTCCCCTCTTGGTCAGTGAATATAGAGCAGACCGGTCTCCGTGCTCCTTGGAAAACACCCCCAGCATAGGGCAGTGACGGGGAACCTTTTGAGCTCGGCGTGTCAGCATTTTGGAAAACCCTAACTTAACTCTAGTGCCGTGTCACATATAGAAATTTTTTGATATTTGCAACCATAGTAAAACAAAGATGTATATTTTTGATATTTATTTTATATATTTAAATGCCATTTAACAAAGAAAAATCAACCAAAAAAATGAGTTCGCGTGTCACCTCTGACACGCGTGTCATA